CCACCCCCTTTGCCAGTGCGCCGCCACAGGGAGGGCAGAGCTGGCAGTCCTCGCGGCCCTCCACCCCTCCCGGGCCTGGCCGAGGCCCGGGCCAGCCGGGCTCCTGGTGGACACCGGGGTTCAGTCCAGACCCTCTTCCATGAACCCACCACCTCGTCCCAGGGGCTGCGGGCATCTCCCTTTTATTCTGTAAAATTCCAAGCCCTGAGAGCAAGTGCTCTTGGCCTGGACTAAGCAACTGATATGTCCCCTATGAACCCCCCCATAAAAATAATAATAGTATTAGAACAATAACAGTGCAAATTAACACTCTCAGCAAAAATCAATTGAGGGCCTGCAGAAGTGCTTTTACCCCTTCTTTCCCCCCCGCCCCACCCCCCCACCATCCCAGGACAAGGTATAGAACCATCCATTGGCTCACAGTCACCTTCTGAAACACCAAGTTCCCAGATGGATCAGGTTCCAAAGTCCAGTTAGAAGTCACCTTTTTGCAACTTTGAGTGCATCTACTGCGAGTTACATCAGCATTTCCCAGAACAGCCCTAACAGGCCTCCTTGAAAGGGGGCTTTCTGTGGCCTCCTAGCTGTACAGCCAGGCTCCTCTGGGGCAGTTCAAGGCTCATTAACAAATAAAAGCCTCCCCTCCCACCCCAAATTCTCCAATAAGTAAACCTTTATCTCTTTGTTTAACCTAGTATTTCCTGGAATTTGACTTAGAGGCCTTTTCTCCTATAAAATCTGCCTTTTATTTATTTTTCCTGTAAAATCTCCCTACAAAATGTATGAAAACTAAGCGTGGTGAAGTTCCCAGGCCATCCTGCAAACCTGCTTCATTTGGGGGCTTGTCCCCAAATAGTATGAGACATATAAAGGGTAGATGTACAGACACACTGAAGCAGAAGCTGCCTTCTTGGTTAATTGTCCCTGGTTCCTCCCACCTGCCTGCGTTCCCCCCTCGCTCTCCTGGTAGTGGCTGTTTTGCCCTTTTTCCCTTGCCCCAGACACTTCCTGTGTTTGCTCACATCTGCTCTTGCAGCCAAGTACCATGGAAGATGGGAGGGTGTATGTGGGAGCAAGTGAGTGCTCTCGCCCGCAGGGGCACGTGAGCTCAGATGGAACTGGTTAGAGCCGGTCCCAACACAACCAACGTCTGTAAAAGTCTATATGCCAGAGTAGATAGGAGAGATTCGGGATTATCCATAGTTGAAGATTAGTGTGAATAATCCTTCCACCTTCTCATCTCATCCCCTCAGGACCCATCCCCACCCCACCAACCTAGATGTCTGAAGGCTGGTCTAGCTGTTAGCAGAGCAGATGTGTGAATTGTGTGTCTGTTACACTCCTCTCCCCCCGACTACGGAGGGTGGGGAACCAAAGCCTCTCTACCTGTGGGGACAAGAGAGCCTCACTGTGGGTGACAGCTACACCCCTCCCTCCTCTGCTGGGACCCCAGAACACAGCTCCGGCTCTACCTGGCACCTGCGCTGGTGGCTGAGAGAGATAAAAGGGGCTGGAGGGCTGTGGTGTGAAGGGAGGGACAGCCACCCAGTGGGGAGAAGGGCAGCGGGCCCTGCAGGAGGAAAGCCCAGCTTTTGTGGGAGACCCTGGTGTCTCCAGAGCCCCAGGTGGGGAGGACACCAAGCTCGAGGGAACTTTTCTTC